CAAAAAAAACAATTAAATCCGTTCAATAAAAAGAATTACGATATCCAAAAGGCGATTCAATTTCACAAGGATAAATCATACAAAAAAGCATGGAAGATTTTCAGTGATTTAGAAAAAAATAATTCTACACCTGAAACAAAATTCTGGGTAGGATTTTATTATTATAAAGGATATCACGAAGGTAGAGATGGGAGGCCGAATGCTAAAGAAGCTACGAAATATTTGTGCGAGGCAGCAAAATTAGATCAAATAGATGCACAATATTGGTATGCAAATATGATACTAAATGGTAGTTTAGTAGCAAAAGAACAGGATAACGAGAGATTTAAAGTAGCATTGGAATATTTGAGACATGCTGCCAAGTTAAATCATCCCTTGGCATTAAGAATGTTGGGAGGAATTATCAAAAAAGGTCAATATGGAATGAAATTTGATCGTAGTGTAGGCAAAGATATGGTTGAAAGAAGTAAAAGTCTTTATTGCTCAATTAACATCAATAAGAATAATGAAGATCAAAATACAATAAGGTCAAAAATACATAGATTTAGTAATTAAACCATATTGTTCATCATTTAAATAAATATATATATATATTTTTTTTAATTCAAAAATCAGTTTCCTAAAATTATCGAATATTACATAATGATACTGTATGTTAACGGTCTCTTTCATTATTCGATAATGATAATATTCAGGTTTTTGCTTTGAATCTATTTTTAGAAGCCAGGATACGCCCTATTGGTAATTCCCTTGGCATATAACGACAACTATAATTTCCAATAAAAAATGGACAAATTTTTTCTTTTCTGAGAACTGTCTGATTTCTTTTGAATTTATTGTAGAATACGGCAATCTCTCGATTAAAACTTGATTGTTTTAACCAGAATTCCCACATTCACTAATTTGTTTCAAAATAATTCGACTAATCATAATTAGTATTGACAATTTCAACAACAATCTCATTTGCATAATAACTATGATAACTTCTTTTCTAATATCAATATGATATCTTTGCTCGCTTTTTTTGACACATTATCTTAAAAGGCTGAAGACAAAATAGATATACAAAAATGGTTTAGAATATTATTAGACGTGATGAAATGTTCTAAAACAAATTGTGCAAGTTATATAAGCGAATGAATTCACATATTCAAATTAACCAATTACAATTATGATATAATTGTTTGGGAGCACAAAGTATATAATGAATTCCCGATTTGTGAGGTCTTTTCTGCTCTTCTTACATATTAATATACAGTATATATAATAATTGATATGCACTCGGGCGTTTCTTTCTATAATATAGAATAACATTTTCATTAATATTAATACTTATGTCTATTGAATCGCATTAGTATTCATACAAGTTTGTGATTCTGATTTCAGACATTTACATCCGATGCATTCAAATACCGCCAAAATTGTTAAAAAAGCACATTATGAGTATTATTTTTAGTAAAACCGCTTCCAGCCAATGAAAATCACCCTTTTCAATTGGTGCTTTTGTAAATTCGAATAAAATTCAATTTCTGAATTCATGTTTTTATATTATTTAATAATAGCTATTATTACCGCCATGGTTTCTTGGCCAGACACATTAAGACAATGCGTGGCCTGCTACTATTGTTATTTAATAGTAAATTGTTATCATCATCCTCTAATGGTTTATGCTATTATTATTATCCAAAGAATCAATATCTTAAATAATAAGATTTTTTTCACAATTTATGTCCTTTGGAGGAGATAGTGATGGGAATTAAACTTCTGTTCTATTATTAGCATCACTTGCAAAAAGATGCACCTTAATTACTAAACACCAGATTTAACTAACATCTTCTTTTATTTATCATTCGTTACATTTATGGCGGAGGTTGTCAACGAGTTTCCAATTCTTTTCATTGGACTTTGAAAATTTAATACCAGGTTTCATTTCTTGGGTATTGCTCGCTTCACTGATCATTCATTATTCGAGTCACTATAATTGATTTAACATTCCATTCATCAACGGCTTTTTCAAATGTCTCTAAATCATAAAGACTTTTCTCTCGTGCATTATTGAAACACAAATAATATTTGGAACACCGGTTTTTTTACATGAATTGGAAATAACGCAGCCGACCGAACTTGATCTTCTTCGATTTCCGAAATCAAAAACTCCATCACAAGCTCTCACTGGAGTTGCATACTATAAATTGAACGGATTTCATAATTATGGCCTCCCAGTAAATAATGATGATGCGTTTCTAATTCATTTCTAAAATGAATTAGAACTTCAACAAATAAATATTCCAATCCAAGGATCACAAGCGTTAACGCAAATTATATGTGACAGGAGTAAAGATAAAAAAGAAAAGAACGAGAAAATTTTCATTTAAATAAACAATTTTTTTCTATTATCATTATTATTATACATACAATTTTACAACAGTTCTTGCGTCATGATCGGACCAGGAATGGCCACAATGAATACATTGAAGAATTTCAGGGGATCTAATTAATATCCTTGCTTGATTTTATTATTTTTATAATCCTTTTTTTCTTGTTTTTTTGTATAGTAGCATTAAATGTCTATATCAGTAAATTTATGCATACTTTTTACAAAGAATTTTTTATAGATTATTTGCTTTTGCTTCATTATAAAATTTAAAAGAGCCATAAAGCTTGAAGGATTTGAAGTCAAACATAAATCAAAAGTAACTCATTAGCGGTAAAAAGTACTATTCGGAGAACGTTGAAAATTGCAGAAAAAAAACTTGGCAATTTAGGTAAAAGGTGATGATGATAATGATGCAGAAGAAGAAAATATCAATATTAAAATGATTAAGAATCATAAATGACATTGGCTCCGAGTATTTTCCTTAATGTCTCTGGCAAATTATTTATTTATATGTCTTTCTATGTATTAGTTTAATCAAATAAAAACACAATCTCTTTTGCAAGTTGCAAAGTTCCTTAAAAGTTATTTCCAAAAAAATAGAATAAATCTAATTATTAGGTTAGGTTTCATACAAGCCTAGCTCAATACTGTGACCGAATCGAAACTTCTTTAGAGGAAAAAAATAAAAATCCTAAACCCCGAAACTTATCCAACTTTAGCAAAATCCGAGTAGACTCCTCTCCCAAAACTATTTCGGGGATTCAAGAGTTTCGAGGGGCCTAAATGCAATTTTAAACTCAGTACCTTCCCTATCACCCACAATGAAATTCCTTATTTGGTAATACCCTTTGGGAATAACCATTTTCATCTAAGGAAACGATTAAAATGGATTAATAATTGGTAGTGTTGGAGATAATCAAAGGATAAGATTGATTATTGTCCAACAACATATATTTTCTTCATCATTCTCTAATCTTTTTTATCGTAGGTCAAAAAGGGTGGCTTCTCTATTGGGAAGCTTTGTTCGGTTTAAAATTTTTTTTTGATCATAACTATATCAGGCCGTAGAAAAAAATGGGAATTTGTTTCAAATTTGTCTTGGCAAAGTGTTATAATGTTACACAGAGTACATGAGTTGTGAATCGAGGACCCCCCGGATTATTACAATTGATAGGCTATTATTAAGAACCTCAACAACTGTATTAATATGATTTCTTAATCCTTTAGATAAAAGTATATTGGATAATTTTTCAATGGTTACATATGAAGTTGCATGTTTTACATGGATAAAGCTAAATCGGACCATGTTTGCTTATCATCACTGATACTTAATAACCCAAAATAAATTAAAAGCATTATTTGAAGCAATTGTGTAAAAATAATAATAATAATTTTAGTAATAAGCAGAGTCTTTAGAAAATTTACTCGAAATGCAAAAGGGCGTAAAACTTTCTTAATCCTTGTTTATTTTTTTGCCTTACCCATAATTTCCGCTATACCCAAAATAGTCACACCATTTATTAAAAGTCTACCCAAATTTTTTCAATTATAATGATCTGGGCCCTGTGAATTGTGACATCACGCGTAGTAATTTCAGAGCTTCTTATTACACGATAAAAACCAATTTTTATTGGCTGATCAAATTTTCCAAAAATAGCTTCTGCTAATGACAATAACATCGTCATTATCAACAACAAAATCATCATTCAGTTCAAAAAGTAGCTTCTAATAACAAGTGTTTATCCAATTCAAAAAAGTCTTTTCAGATATCATCAAAAATGAATTGCTTAACCAGCCCCAGGGGTGGGTGTTTTCTCCAATACTAACAAACATAACAAACATATTATTTTATATTAATTATACACAAAAATCAATATTGGGCTTAAAAAATGCATAAATTTTATTATGTAAATCAATGCCAAAACAGAGTTTATGAAACAGGATCAGAGCCCCTTAGTATTAATTAGTATCAGATTGATTGGTTCTGACCAGTCTTCTAGCCCAAATAAGTCAAATTCTTTTAATTTATTATTACCATTACACAGTGTTTCCTTTAGTTACAAAAATTACACCATAAACTATTGATTAATAGGAATTTTTAGGAACACAAATAGCTTGAGCACAATTAAAACAAGTTTGTTTAACAATTTGGCATCTATATGATTCATGACAAGGTGGACATGTTGGCATCATCATGGTACAATAAACACACCCTAATAATAAAAACAAATTTGGTTAATAATTTTCTTTTTTTTCCAAGGATGGATTAATGAATTTTAAAATTTTCTTTTTTTTTTTTTTACCAAGAGATTTTTTGACACATGTAGCAGATCCACAAGAATAACAATTTGGTTCTTCTATAACACACATTTCATCATCTGCGCATGGTTTACACTCAGGATACATTAGACATTTTAAACATGCTGAAAGGAATATTGATGGGTTATAAGTAAATTAAATAAATGATGTTAAATAATTATTGATGAAAATAATTTGTTCCTTACATTCATCTTTAGTAGATCTACACATTGCTCTTGGACACGAGAAGCAACGTTTGGCCGTTACTATACAAGTTTCATTACCAGTATTACAAACTGGTTCACATGTCGGAACGGCTTTTGGACAACTCATGCACCCAAAACGATCTATAAATGATAATCAAAATATTTATTATTAAACTAATATTACTTTTAATTCATATTAATACACTCGCACCTTGTCTTTCAATTAGTGAGGAAAATGAATTTGTGGTGTTAAATAATATAAAATTAAAAATAAAAATAATAAAAATTAAATTCAAATTTTTCATAATTTTTTTTTAAAAGGAAAAAGAAACATGTGTGATATTTTAATATATATAAAATTTAATATGATATGACTTAATGATGATGAAAGTATGATTGTGTGCAACATTCATAAATCAATATTTACTAGTTTTAATTCAAGTTTGAATACAAAATATAATTATAATTAATTATTCATTCTTTTTTTACCATTCGTTACTTACCACCTTGAAGTTCACAAAATTATGAAATCAACAAAAATCATTTATTGAAAATTTTCTCATGGCTTATAATGATCATGTGTGATTAACCTTAAGGCTTTAACGGCCATCTTGTAGATTTGATTAATGCAACAAGAGTATTTTCTCGAGATATTGATATTAATTATCTATATATTTTTGTGGGCGGATACTTATATACACAATATTAATATGGTATGGTTTGTAAACTCTTTTGTTTTATATATGTATGTTTAAGGTTCGGGAAATATGATTTATTTATGTCATGCATTGATCTCCATTCGAGGTGTGATAAATTTTGAAAATGACTAACTACGTGGAGGAAGATGATAGTCGAACTGGTGTGGAGGTGATATTTCTGGACAATATTGATTGTGACAAATTTACCATCACTTCACTTTTTATCACATAATCACATAGCAAAAAAGATTTTATTATTTAGAAATAACATTTTGTTTTTAATGCATTGATGTAATATTTTCAAATGGCAATTGATTTGTTGCAATTTCCCATAAAACAATCGCAAAACTATTTTATAACAACAACAACAAAAAAAGTAAAATTTTTATCAATTACGATTTTTTTTTTTTTTAAAAAAAAAATGAATATAATTTTTAGTCACCTATAAATTTCACTGGCCTTTGTATATTCTTTACCATTAAGTCTTTCGGGTGCAGACCATCTTTCATCAACCGGATCATTAGCTGACTTTAATATTATCGGTGATTCTTTTTCTGTGCGAAAGTTATAAAGTTTCGGTTGAAAATGCAAGTCCAAAAATATATTATCACTAAAGAAGGGGGAATAAGAAAAAATTGACTTTATTATTAATTATTTAAAAGAAAAGAAAAAGAAAAATACCTTTGTAAATCATAATGCAAAATATTTTGATCATGACAAAATTTGATTGCATTCGCTATTCCATGAGAAATAGATAATTTTTCCGACCAACTGAGACGTCCGGGTCGTTCAGCAAGTATAGTTTTAAGATTATATTCTCCCCATTGTGATATAAGATATAATACTGTTGAACGTTGACAATATCCTTGACTATATAATTTATAACAGTATTAATATATATATATATATATAATATAAGCAAAAAATATAAAAATTATAAAAAAGACTCACACATCTAAAATGTGATGACATTCTGAAAGCTTTTTCAAGAATCCAATTTCTTCCTTTAATTTAATAAATTCTGGTCCATCTACATATTGTTTACCAGAAGAGATTGATTTTTCTGCAACTTTTCTTACCCTTACATACAATTTTTGCACTACTTGCTTTCTACTACCACGGATGATCGGTGGGTCTATATCTAATATGTGTTCAGGTTTGATCTCATCAGCATCAAAAGAAGTTGATGATTTATGAAGTGTTATTATTTTTGTGAACAATTTAATTTTTCTTTTAATTTTATTGTCCCATTTTCTACGACCACCACTATTATTATTATTATTATTATTATTATTAACGTTGACTGCTTGTGTATCTTCCCCTGCTTCTTTCTTATCTTTTACTCCAAGTAATTTTGACAATTCATCATTTAATTTTGAAATTTCTTCTTTAATTTCTATTTTCTTTTTATCATCATCAACATTTAGATTATCAAGAGTTTTTTCGATGTTACGCAAACAATCATTAAATTTTTGAAAAGTTTCGTTTTCTCCCAAACTAAAATCTTTGTTTATTTCAATTCCTTCTATCAAATCTTTGCACGATTCCAAAATTTTAATTTGATCATCGGTGATTATCGAATCTTTTAATAATTTTTCAATTGTGTTTTTTGTTTCTTTGATTTTGTTATTGTCATCGTTGTTATTATAAATATTGATATCATTACTATTAAAAATTGGAATATTGTTATTGGTCGAGTCAATTGGCGAACTGACTAAATAAAATTGATCATTTGGTAAAATTTTGGTTTCAAGAACTAAGGTTGTTGCCATTTTTAATATATTTTAAGTTTATTATTTTAAAAAATTATAAAAAATAATTAAGGTTTTTTTTTTTGAGAAAAAAATTATTTTGCAAGATGCATATTTATATCATAATTAGTTGTGTACACTGCATTTTTTTTATATATAATAATTCTTTTTTTTATAAAAATTATATGCAAACCATTACGATCGATGATTTTTTATATCCTTATTTTGACAATTAGATTTATTCTGTTTGTCTAAAAAAAAACGTAGACAAAAGATTATGATATTGTTTAATAAATTATCAATGAAAATAAATGCTTTCAAAAAATTTTAATTTTTTGGATGACAATAAAAAAATCTCATGTCATTTACATATCACATATTATTATCGTCAATACGTATAATTCTTACTATTATTATTATTACTACTACTACTACTTATTACGAATTAAAAATTGTTCCCGAATTTTTTTTCCCGTAGAAATTTTCATGTTTTTGCTGGATTGGGTTAATATTTCTATTTTGTAAAATTATCCAATCAATTACTCTAATTTCTAATCATTATTATTTTTTTTTTGGTAAAAATAAAGTATATTTCACAATGAATAATAAACTTAAAAAAAAATCATTGAAAACTCTCCAAGCTCTCTAAAAGGTAATATAAATCCTTATTTTTATTCATTCATATTATTCGTATAATTATTTTTATTTATATAAAATTTATTAGAAAATTGCCATCAACAAAGATAAAAATAGTAATGATGAAGGCGAAGATATTGAATTTGAAAATAAATAATAAATATGATGTTGGTGAAATTAGAAATGGGAATGAAGATAATAATAACGAAATTGGTGAATAAAGATAAAAGAACTGGTCAAAGCAAAGGTGGATTTTTTTTATACGGTTTCTAATTGTGGTAAATCTTTCAGGACTAAAATCCATTACTTAATCAATGCATGGTGAAGTGTGGATATCCAGGATGTAACAAAGCATATTATCAAAAACATGGATGTCATTTCGGAACAAAAAGTTTCAAATGCGAGTATCCAGGATGTACAAAAGCTTTTTGTCAAAATGATGAATTACCAAGACACACAAGACATCATCTTGGAATGAAAAATTTCAAATGTGAATACCCCAGTGTGTGCAATATTATTTTTTCAACAAAGTAATTAACTAGTTCATACGAAATATCATCATCTTTGAATAAAAATTTTTAAATGTGAATATCCAGGATGTGCAAAATCTTTTGATCAAAAAAGTTGTTTTATCAAGACACACAAAATATCATCTTGAAATAAAAATTACAAATGTGATGATGTAGTTGGATTTGTTACCAAATTTGAATTCAATGGGCATAAACTTAAAAATCATTAAAGCTTGGTTGCATAATAATTTTAAATGGTTGTGGAGATGATGTATTGACATGCATAGATATCAAGCAAGATTTAATTGTTAAGTTCATAATTAATTATATAGGTAAGATCTACAATTTCAACAAATCATACTTGTATTACACTGATCATCTATAAATAAAAATTTTTTTTTCTTTTTTTAAAACATATTTCAAAATGAATGATGACAAAAATTCTCGAAAATCTCTAAATGGTATTATACTTTTTAAAAAATCTAAAGTTTAATTCATATTATTTTATTTATTTATATTTGTATTTGGTTGTGTTTTAATAGATCGTTGTGTGGATATTAATAATGATGATGATAAAATCAAAAAAGTCCTAGAATATTATCATAATTATAATAACAGCATCATCAACAACAATGATAATGATTCAAATGGTGATGATGGCAATAAAAATGGTGATCAAAGTAATAATGGATTTTTTTGTACAGTTCCAAATTGTGGTAAAACTTTCAAGAATAGACCTTTACTTAAGAAACACAATAAAATTCATGGTGGAAAAATTTTCAAATGTGAGTATCCAGGATGTGCAAAAGCTTTTTGTCGAAATTGTGATTTATTCATACATACAAAACGTCATCTTGGAATAAAGAATTTCGAATGTAAATATCCAGGATGTGAAAAAGCATTTTGTCAAAACAGTGATTTACTAAGACATACAAGATGTCATCTTGAGAAGAAAAATTTCAATTGTGAATATCCAGGATGCACAAAATCATTTCATCAAAAAAGTAATTTAAGTGTACATACAAAGCATCATCATTTTGGAATAAAAAATTTCAAGTGTAAATATCCAGGATGCACAAAAGCATTTTATAGAAAAGATCATTTGCTAGATCACACAAAACGACATCTTGGAATAAAAGATTTCAAATGTGAATATCCAGGATGTGAAAAATCATTTTGTCAAAAATTTGAATTACTAAGACATACAAGATGGCATCTTGGAATAAAAGATTTCAAATGTGAATATCCAGGATGTGAAAAAGCATTTTTTCAAAATGGTGATTTACTAAAGCATACAAGACATCATCTTGGAATAAAAAATTATAAGTGTGAATATCCAGGGTGTAAAAAAGCATTTTCTAATAAATGCAATTTACTGGCACATACAAGACATCATCTTAGAATCCAAAAATTCAGGTGCGAATATCCAAGATGTGAAAAAGCATATTCTCAAAAAAATGATTTGCTAAAACACACAAGACATCATCATGGCTTGGAATAAAAAATCATGGACGTGACAAAAGATTTGTTAAACTTGGCAAAGCATAAATCTGTAAATCATTAAATTTGGGTTGTGTTGTGTGTGAATTGAAATTAGCCAATCAAATAGATGCAAAGTTCCTTTTAATTGGCTTCACATAATAATGTGAATTTCAAATTCACAACAGTTCATGATAATGATAATAAATCATTTTTAAGAAGCTGTATTAATCATTTATAAATATTTTTGGGATTTTTTTTAAAATGCTAAAATGAGGCCTTGTGTGATCACTTTAATGTAATATTAAGTATTTACAAAATTTTACATGTAATCCTACCCATTGTTAATTCAAAGCTAGCCTGCCACATAATCATGTATTTTTCCGCAAAAATTATCCGCATCGCCAAATCAATCTTTAAATAAGAATAACACGCACCCAACCCACCAATAAAATTGGATATTTTCATGATGCTGCGCAAAATTGCGGATGATTTTTGCGGAAAATTACATGATTTTGCCTGATACCTCTAATAAAATAATTAAATCTAAATAATTATACAAAGATAGCATGCTAAAGACAAAATTTTTCCCACTTAGCACCAAAACATATGAAATTCGACACCACTCTTCCCATTTGTCAGAATGTATAGCATTCTGAGAATTGGACCAGTGTCTTGAGAATGTTTTGTTGTATATCTTTTTTTTTGTTTTTATCTGCTATCTCATTCAATGATTTCTTCGTGCCAGATTAATTTAATTTTCTATTAAAAATTATGGACTTTCGAGTCCTGGCGATATTATATTATTTTATGTGTACTGACTGTATGTATGCATGAAAAGTAACTTCAAATTATACAAGTGGCTTCCAAATTTTTTCAAAGAAAAGTTTCTGGACTAAATTTAACAGTTTTCCTCCTTTTGGATTTAGAGTTTAAGGTTTTGGGCGAAATCAATCGACAAAGTTTTGACAGGTTACACATTAATATTATTAGTTTCGGCAGTTTCGTATTTGGGGTTTTGGTCAATTGTCAGAGTTTTAACAAGGTATATACTAATTGTTCATTGGAGTTTCGGCAAGCAACCTTAGTTGAAATAAAGTTCTATTTCACATATTTTATTTATTTATAATTCAAATAGTGATGGCAAAATGAAAATATTGAAATTTATGAAGATAAAGATAGCAATAATGATCAAATTAACAATAGACAGCTTCAAACTGTGGCAAATTTTCAGGTAAATATCATTGCTTAACCAACACAATAAACTCATGGCGGAAAAAATTTCAAATGTGAATACCCAGGATGTTCTATTATTAGCATCACTTGCAAAAAGATGCACCTTAATTACTAAACACCAGATTTAACTAACATCTTCTTTTA